TTTTCGTACTCAATTTTAGTAGGCTTTCGAAGATCCCTGGGGTTCTTCTTCTACGTACGTACAAAAATGTTTGTATTCGCGATTTGAACGGCTTGAGGATTCTAAGCAGACGTCTAATTGAGCATGCTCTGTAATTTTTGCTCCGATGGGCGTTGATACTAATGTTTATCAGCTATCTGGGAATGCGTCTCTGAGGGTACGTACCTAAAGGATTAGGTTTGTCATGAACCGCTTATGGTACCTACCGGTTTCAGTAATTTATCGTTCTTTTTTATCCGTAACCGCGTAACGGTTTTCTAGATACCTATCGACTAAATTTTAGCAAAGAAAAATGTACTAATTGCACTCAGGTAACACTATTTTACTAAGCAGCTCAGTTAAACGCACAATAGCATGATGTCTGAGAAAATACAGGCATCAAATGACTTCAACATAAAGTACAATGTAGTACGACGCTGTTATCACTGCAAGTGTCCGTGCACCTGCTAAAATGAAAGTGAACAAATTCAAATTTCAATTACTTTTCTAAATTGTACACCTTGTACTAATCACAATAGTTTACAGAAGTTAAATTTGGTTTATGAAACATGAGGGAATTGCCATTTTAATAAAACAGGTTGTACTACGCACGCAAGCCAGAGTTTTTGAAGGCCGGACTTCGGCAGCGTTTAATTGGTATGTCTGCTTGGTAGTCGAAGATTACTGGTTGGAACTGTCTATATCATTCATGAAAAAATAGAAGGCAGAAATTTTTTCTGGTCCAGATAATATCAGCACCCAAGTACTTGGAGAGGAATCAACCTGATGTGCTGATCTTTCTTGGAGACCTAAATGCCCGACACGAAAACTGGGGCGACACAAAGAAGATCTTCTAGACAGCGAGCTGCAGTATAATCTGCCCAACGAACTCAATCTGCCCATGAAGATTCTAAGCAGAGGCCTGATTGAGCACGCTCTGTAATTGTTGCTCCGATGGGGGTTGATACTAATGTTTATTGGCTATCTGGGAATGCGGCTCTGTGGGTAAGCACCTACAAAATTAGGTTTGCCATGAAGCGCGTACGGTACCTACAGGTTTCAGTAATTTAATGTTTACTTTTATCCCTAACCGCGGAACGGTTTTCTGGATAAGTACTGACTAATTTAGAGCAAAGAAAAATGTACCGATTGCACTCAGGTAACACAATTTTGTCAAAAAGCTCAGTTAAACGCACAATAGCATGATGTCTGAGAAGATACAGGCATCGAAAGACTTCAACATAAAGTACATTGTAATACGGCGCGGTTTTCACTGCCAGTGTCCGTGCACCTGCTAAGTTGAAAGTAAACACATTCAATTTTCAGTTACTTCTCTATATCATACACCTTGTAGTAGTCATAATAGTTTACAGAAGTTAGGTTTGATTAATATAACATGAGGTAATTGCCATTTTAAGAAACCGGGTTGTACTACACACGCAAGCCAGAGTTTTTGAAGGCCTGACTTCGACAGTGTTTGCTTGGTATGTCTGCTTGGTAGTCAAAGACTACTCGTTGGAACTTTCTATATCACTCTCGAAAAAATAGAAGGAAAAATTCCTTTCTGGTACAATTAATATCAGCACCCAAGTTTTGGAGAGGTATCAACCGATTTTTCTTGGAGACCTAAATGCCCGACACGAATACTGGGGCGACACAAAGAAGATCTACTAGGAAGCGACCGATTTTTTTGGAGACCTAAATGCCCGACACGAATACTGGGGCGACAAAAGAAGATCTGCTAGGAAGCGAACGATTTTTCTTGGAGACATAAATGCCCAACACGAATACTGGGGCGACATAAAGAAGATCTGCTAGGAAGCAACCGATTTTTTTGGAGACCTAAATGCCCAACACGAATACTGGGGCGACATAAAGAAGATCTGCTAGGCAGCGACCGATTTTTCTTGGAGACCTAAATGCCCAACACGAATACTGGGGCGACAAAAGAAGATCTGCTAGGAAGCGAACGATTTTTCTTGGAGACATAAATGCCCAACACGAATACTGGGGCGACAAAAGAAGATCTGCTAGGAAGCGAACGATTTTTCTTGGAGACATAAATGCCCAACACGAATACTGGGGCGGCACAAAGAAGATCTGCTACGCAGCGAGCTGCATAATAATCTTCCCAACGAACTCATGATACTGAGCAATGATGAGCCAACATTCTTATCTACGAATGGAAGCAGTGTCATTGATCTTATCATTGTACCAGGTAATCTACTTGATTAAAATTTCCCGTAAGATATCATGGGAATACGACGTGAAACTCTTCACTGGAGCACCACAACGTGGTCATGTTCCAGTACAGCTGCATTTTTACAAAATTCTGACAAAAATTACCATCAAATTGCGGCCATGGCTCGAGGAAGTCGATTGGAAAAGAAGGACAGATACTCTAGATTTATTATGCGAAAATACATCTGAACTTGATGATGCTGATGGCACATGGCAGAAACTAACAGGTATGATGCTCGAAGCAACCAGTCAACATATCCCAATAAAAAAAACCTGCCGACATAGTAAATCTTGTGGATTGATGCACTCTCCGTTGAAAGCTTGGATGTCAGAAGATGTCGGAGACTATTTGGACAAACCTCGAACTATTCAAATGTAATATCTCTCACTTCAACTATAGAGCAATTCAAGACAACCCTTAGCAAATAAGCTTCTCATTGGATGCAAAACTTGTTGCAACAATTGGTAAAAGAAGAAGGGAGGAGTTCTGCAAATTATACAATAGAATCTTCCAAGTGAAAGCAGGGAACCTTGAACCCATACGTTCTTCGGCAGACAACCTTCTGTTATATGCCAATTTGACAACTGACAACCATCTTAGATGACTTCAACTTTTCACATGCAATCAGGAAAGCTCCGGGAAAGAAATTGAAAACCAAAACTCAGCAAACACAAAATTGAAGAAAAAAATGCAAAACTGAATTACCAAACCCGTGCAACCAACTAATTTATAATCAAATCAAAGTTCAAAGCAAGAAAGACTCAAGTACATCGTGTAAATTAGAAACGATTACATTTTCGTTTTCTATATGGCGTTCAGCTAAATTGCCAGAAACCACACCCTTGCTCTACCCCTGACCAGGCTGGAAGCACAGTTTGTCGTTAGTGCCAACCAAGGATTACTCGTTTTGCAGTTGCTTAAGATTAAAAAAAATCGGTTTAACAATTTGGACCCCCACAGCTTAACTTTGGTATAGGGACGTTAACTTTACGTTTGGTTTATATTACTTTCCGCCTGTTTAAGTATCAGAACGATTTACTATCAAGCATTTGTAACTTTCAATTGCTTATTTTAGTTCGTTATACTTATTTGAAAATATATTTACCTCACCATTGTTCTTTTGCTTCGCTCCTTTTTAAGTTTAAGTCTAGCTACCTAGGACAGGAACTAACAAAGTGGTCAAAACTACGACTGGATACGACATCTACAACAACTGCAGCGATCAACTACGACAAACTAGCCATGCCCAACAAAACCACTCTCCCCCAGAGAAATCTTCTCATCGCCCAACTAGAGCGCCTCTTCAGACGAGTACGAAAAGCCATCAGTGACATCAATACAAACTACAACATAGCTGACTCAGAAACCGAAATGATGAAAATTCTCAGCAATTTGTAAGACGCCACTACGTACCTTGTAGACCACCCGACTGAGCACGCCACTGCGGAGGATCTCATCAACCGCTTTACTGATATACAAGACGAACACGACGACATCATGGATGAATTTAGACAGATGCTACAAGAAATTACAGCAGAGACAACTCCACAACAGCAGAACACTAATGCCACCACAGTTCAAGCCCCCACACAGCTGATTCAGTGCAACAACAGACAATACTAGATCGGGACTCTAGACAGACGTCAACATTATTCAACAGCAGCCATCAGCCCGGATCATCAGTTCAGCAAACAGTAGAGGACCAAAACTTTTCAGATAGCCGAGATACTCAGCAGCAAGTCCCCCAGACAGGTTTCGAAATAGAAAGACCACCACTTCAACAAACAGAACACGACACCACCAACGCAAACCTCAGCTTCAACATAGTTACAGAACATCAGTTCATTCCAACAGCAGTATGTCAGACATCAAGTAACGGACAGTCCCGAGCAAACTTCAGTCTTATGACTAGGCCCCCCCCCCAAAAGTAAAAATCGAGCCTTTCGACGAAAACCCTATGAAGTGGAGCATGTGGTTCGGTCTCTTCGAAGCAACAATCCACAATCAAGCCATCTTGGACGCCGAAAAGATGACTCATCTGCAGACTTTAACGACTGGAAAAGCAAATCAAGCTATTTCTGGATACTCCTGCAATAGCACTATGTACAACGCCGCCCTCCACGAACTACGACGACGATAATATGGACGACCCGACATCATCATCAATGACTTCGTCAACAAACTACAGAGCTTCAAGCAACCATCAACTCATCGCAGGGATTCATACATGGAGTTTTCCACAATCATCAGTAACATGGTGGAAACATTTCGGACTCTTGGTTTCAAAGACGATTTAAACTCTACAATATACGTTCAATTTGCCGTGAGCAAATTGAAACACCATCAGCAGCTTCAGTGGACACAGTACATCACCGCTCAGAACATCGACTAGCCTAATCTTATCGCCTTCAACGACTGGATCAGACAGTTTGTATTAGCATTCGATCACTTACCACCTATGCAACCGCAGCAAATGACCCTGGACTCGAACGATCGACAACAAATAGCCCCAAGACTTCGACACGCCATCAACCAACCAACCTTCACAGAAGACTTCTCAAAATTGGAGTGCGAATACCCGACCCCCATGTCCCTTCGACGGACAAACTCACCACCCAGCATACTGCAGCATGTATCAGAATTCACCTTTGGAAGAGAAGAAGAGACTCGTTTCTGAAAAGAAACTTTGTTTCAACTGCCTTAGCCAACCTCAAGTAAAAAACTGCCCATCAAAGCACACATGCAGCAAATGCAATCAGCATCATTACACAACTCTACACGACGAACAACGAACACAAAGTTTAATCCAAACCAGCGACCGAATCAAGTCAACCATCTTGCCAGCCAAAAGAAGATATCAAGAATCAACAGCTCACTGCTGCTACTTTTACCAGTAACATTACGACACCGCAACATATACCTTAAGGTATACGCTTTTCTTGATACAGGAAGTACAAATAGCTACATATCGCAACCGACAGCAGCATATATTCAACTGGAGGAAACTAACCATCAGGAACAACTGCTTATTGGAGGTTTCTTCAACTCGCAAACGATAGAGGCTAAGACAGTGGATTTTACAGTTCAATCATTTGGAAAAAACACTTTAGCGTTTGAACTAACTAATGTTTTAATCAAAGAGAACTTCAACTTGAATGCAGCGGAGCCCGAAAAGTTGAACGACATCTGCAGCCAATACGACCACCTTAAGGATATATGTTTTCCGGACTTCAGCAACAATGACGTAGCCCTAGTGATTGGAACGGACAATATTGACATCATCAGCGCGAAGACCATCATCAAAGGAAATCAAAATGTTCCTCGAGCAGTCCTTACAGCCCTAGGATGGACAATAGCAGGACCGAACAACGACATTGGATACTTCTCAAGCCACCAAGCAACAGCCACCCCAATACAGATATCAACTGACGACACACAAATCTTGGATGTTCTCGCTTCAATCTGGCGAATGGAAACCTATGCCACATCACCTGAAATAACGATGTCATCGGACGAAATACACGCTATGCAAACTCTTCGGAAAACCATATCATTATACGACAACCGCTATCAACTTGGACTTCTGTGGAAACCAAATGCAAATCTCCCCAACAACTATAAAGCAGCAATTGCCCAATACAACCGGATGAAAATACAACTTACCAAGAATTCAGAAAAGTTGGCTCTCTACCAGAATACAATTGAGCAGGATCTCAGCAAGCACTACATAGGGAAATTAGAGCCAGACGAAATACCTTCGACAGGATGGATGTTACCTGAACATGGCGTAATCAACCCAAACAAGCCAGGAAAACTTCGCCGTGTTTCCAATGCCAAATCCAAATTTAAAGGAGTTTGTCTGAATGATATGCTTTTCACTGGACCTGACTTGCTTTACAATCTACTGGGAGTAATTACCCGATTTCGCAAAGGAAAGCATCCCATCACTGCCGGCATTGAAGGGAGGTATATGCAGGTTTCTGTTAAACCCGAAGAAAGAAAATTTCTTCGTTTCCTCTGGGGAGCGGTAGAACCCGAGTTTTTTGAGTACACTCGATTCGTCTTTGGAGCCAAATGTTCTCCTACTTGTGCAATTTACGCCTTAAGAACTTGTGCAGACGACAATGCTGAAAGCCATCCCCACATCAAAAAACTTGTCTACGAGAACTTCTACATGGACGACATCTTCGAAGCCACCGACGACATCGACACCGCAGTGAAAATCATAGAAGACCTTCGACACGTACTAAAACAAGGAAGCTTCAACCTGACGAAGTGGATCACTACGGATCATAGAATTCTGCAAACAATACCAGAAGAACATAGATCCATCACCATAGACGAAATCAAGGACCCCAAAATCTTCAAGCGAATTCTCGGAATGGAATACGATGGAGAGTAAGTAACGATACACTCAGCTTCACTAATGACAAACTACACGAACTCGTACAGAAGAAACCGCGCAGCTTCCTCAATCTTTGACCCAATTGGAATAGCAGCACCTATTACGATTCGACTACGAATAATCCAGCAAGCAATTTGGAGAAAAGGAATGAAGTGGGACGACCAAATTACACGAGAAATAATACCTGAACTGTTTGAGCTTCTCGACGAGAGAAACGATCTACAGACAGTGGAAATACCCCGACACTATTTTGGATACACTACGACAACATCGCTCTTCATGTTTTTTCAGATGCCTCCTACAGCGCCCTAGCAGCAGTCGCTTATTTTGTATACAGCAACAGTGCCACTCGGCAAATCTGCAGCGCCTTTGTTCTAGGAAAAGCTCGAGTGGCTCCTCTAAAACAACACACAATAACTAAATTGGAACTACAGTTTTTGGTGCTCACCTCGCAAAGTTCATTCGCAGAGAACAAAGGATTGACATCAACTCTACGCATATGTGGACAGACAGCACAACAACGCTTCAATGGATACAGGGATCTGATAAACGACAACAAATTTTTGTGGCTCACAGAGTTGCAGAAATTTTAGAATGCACCCAAGCGAGTCAATGGAATCATTTCCCAGGACCCCTAAACCCAGCAGACGACGGAACCCGTGGAATACCCCTATCAGAATTCAGTAACAAGTCAAGATGGTTCACCGGACCAAAATTCATATGTGAACCAGAATGCAACTGGCCAAAGCTACAGTTAATCTACGCCAATACGGATACCTTGCAACACAACGATCAAACTGGACAAATGGATGAAATAGCAACAACCCCAATTCTAGCTTTTCAAGCTTCCACCGAAAAGACAGAACAAAGCTTCATCGATTACAGCAGATTCTCCAAATGGACAAGAATTCCCAGAACAACTGCATACGTGATGCGTGCCGCCAGGATTTTTAAAGATAAAGGACTACAGTCCCGCAACAAAAGCCCGACGACCGAACTGACAGGCAACAACATGATTACCGCAAAGAATTTTATCTTCAAGCAGACGCAACGAGACAGCTTCAAACCAGAGGTCAACGCATTGACACAAAATAAACGAATCAACACAACTAGCAGACTTCGACACCTATGGCATTTCTAGACGAAGATGGACTCTTGCGAGTACGTGGACGCCTCGAGAAATCTCAATTAGACTTGTGCATAAAACACCTGATTATCCTTGATGGAAACCACCCAGCAGTTCACCTCTTTATAGGACAAACCCAAAAAGACAACCAGCATTCGCCACGCCAGCACTTGAAAAATATTCCTCAAAACGAGTATTGGATTCTCTGTGTTCGCGCACACATTGACAAGATCATAAAAAACTGTTACAACTGCCGACGACAACAGGCAACTGGACTACAACCGAAACTTGTGCTCCTACCCGCCTTCAGATTTCCAGAAGATAAACCCTTCCCGTTTCAACAAACAGGATTAGATCTCTTTGGACCGTATGCTTCGAAAACCGCAGGAAACTACAACAAACGCTACGGCGTTCTAATGACTTGCCTAACAACACGAGCCTTACATCTTGAAATGTGCCAGGACCAATCAGCCGACGCCTTCATCAATAGCTTACGACGATTCTTCGCCCGCAGAGGACAACCAGCCAAAATTGTTTCTGATAATGGTACAAATTTCACCGCAGCCGAAAAAGAACTCAACAGACACTTCGACGCCGATGTTACACGAAAGTTCTTTGCCAACCATCAGATTGAATGGACCTTCAACCCTGCCTATGCTCCTCATTTCGGAGGTGTATGGGAACGACTCATAAGATCAGTCAAACACTCGTTCTATGTCATCATAGGAAGCCAGATTCTAACAGACGACATATTCAACACCGTTCTTTGCGAAGTTGAACACTTCATGAACGCAAGACCCATCACTACAGTTTCAGCATCGCCCGATGATGTTGAAGCCCACACCCCAAATCATTTTCTTCTCGGGAGTCGCATGCCAGCATGCCACCTCTACAAACCCAACAGCCCTCAACACTCAGTCGACAATGGAAACTCGCCCAACAACTCGCAACCCATATTTGGAAACGCTTGATGAAGGAGTTTATCCCAACACTACTGCCAAGACAACGATGGACAAAGAAGCGACGCCTATCAAAAAACGAGGACTCTGGCCAATTGGACGGATCACAGGAAACAAACCAACCGATGATGACCAGATCCGCGTTTACTTTGTCAAAATAAGAGACAAAATTGCGTCAATACCAGCCATTAGACTAGCACCTTCTAGTCCGGATTATTGCAATCAACCAGCAAACGAAGATTCACGACAATGAGAGCCTCACCCCAAAGCAGCCTTGCGCCGACAACCACTTCAACTGACACTTAAACGACCGTTAAGCCAGCGTTTTAAGTTTTATAAGTAGGAACTACCCCACCCTTTTTTTTTCTTAATTTATTTTGCAACTGCAAAATGAGGCCGAGTGTTAAATGCCAATTTGACAATTGACAACCATCTTAGATGACTTCAATTTTTCACATGCAATCAGGAAAATTCCGGGAAAGAAATTGAAAACCAAAACTCAGCAAATACAAAATTGAAAAAAAAGGCAAAACTGAATTACCAAATTTGTGCAACCAACAAATTTATAATCAAATCAAAGTTCAAAGCAAGAAAGACTCAAGTACATCGTGTAAATTAGAAACGATTACATTTTCGTTTTCTATACCCCCCTCAGGGATTCGACCCCCTGCCGACCCAAAGGGTCCCCCCTTTGACACTTTTTCAGAAATCCATTTTTGGCCGACCGACCCTAAAATTTTTCTAAGGGCACCTTCGGCGCCAATATATACTAACTTTGAGGGGGAGCGCGCGCCAAAAAAACGCGATTTTTTTGTCAAAATTTTTCAAAAAGTGCCCAAAAACGGCTTTTTTGACTGTTTTTTCAAAAATTTGCTAGCTTTGAAAATCCACCCCCCCTCGAGAAAATCCCAGATCCGCCCCTGGTATCCAAGAATCTAACGGCCCTCCTCAACATAGATCTGGAAAAAGCCGTCGATAGCGTCTGGACAGATGGTCTTTATTATCGCCTATTAGAATTAAACATAGCTGGAAAGATGCTGAGAATTATTGATGCGTTCCTGCTTAGTAGAAGAGCATTTATCCAGATTGATAAATTCCAATCCAACTGTTTTGAAGTTACAACAAGTCTGCAGCAAGGGAGCGTTATTTTTTCTCTGCTATTCGTACTTTTCATAAGCAACATCCTTTCCTCTCACCCCTGATGCTTCAAGTTCGCTGATGATACTTCGGTACTTATTACCGCTAACAACCCAGATGAACTCCAACAACACCTCGATGAGACCTGCAAAGATAATGAGATTTGGAGCCGCAAATGGAGGATGCTGGTGAATGGATCCAAAACTGAAGTGGTTCTTTCAATTGCGATCAAACTACGATTAAACTACCGAAACAAAATTCAGACACCTGCAGGCTAAAAACAAGCACTAAGTCGTTTGGCCTTAATAATGATGACCAGCTAAGTTACAAGGAACACCTGGAAATCGTGACAAATAAAGCAAGAAAAAACCGGAATACTGTCAGAAGTAAATGTAGCCGCAGATTGGGCCTTAGTATTCCAACTCTGGTATTCCTCTACTAAACTGTAATTTTAACGCAGGTCTTGTATGAATCTTCTATCTGGAGACATAAAAGCATGGTTGGCTGAACCTCGATCAGAACACAATTATCCGTTCAATAATCAAAAATTGTCTTTTCCCGCCGATCAGCCCCGCTGAAATCTTTTTACCAACTCCGCCTATGGACCAATTCGTTGAATCACTAAATATCAAACTTCTGATCAAATTACCCCAGTGGGATGAACTGGTCTATTCAGCACACAACCTAGGTCTCAATGAAACTAACAGTATCGCAATTTTGTTACAGTGATCTCTGAATAGATATTTGAAATATCACGACTCGCAGGAAAACACTTGTATACAATAAAAAAGACAAACTATTAACAACTTCATTGATTCCAAATAGTTTCTCGAATTTATTTTTCCCTCACTTTCTTTGAAACATTCCCGTGCTGTTCAACAAACAGCCCACTGGTATATGGTAACCCTTATAACGCCAACAATATATGGTCAGCCCTTATTCAGCAATTCTCCCAAATTCAACGAAATAATGTGGAATATGAGTAAACAAGCTTCAGCCCTCTGTGCATGAGATATCGGTGAAGACAATGCGTTCCACTACTTTTTCTCGTGCAAACTACACAACACATTCAGACTGCCCTCAATAAGCACCCTCAACCCATTGATGGATGATGACCATCAGAAACTTAAATCATAGATTATGGTAACAAACAAAATGTTATAGATTGAAAGAGTCAAAGTGTCTCTAGTTTTAAGCGGACTGACACAACTTGTATTGAAAACTCGTTGATGATATCTACCCGCAAATAGGGGCGTATTTAGACTTAATTTTTAACTTTCGTGCCAAACAGGG